TCATGACGAACGTTTAAGGGACCAGAGAGAACACTCTCGGACAAAATTTGTCGCTTTTTACAGGTTTCCATGGCAACGGTAGACATATTGGAACTGAACGACCTCACTGCACAACTACAACCAGTGATCGTCCTTTGAGGAAAGTTTCAGGAAGATTGTCCCAGCCATCTCCGAGAAACAGCCTGGATAAAAAAAACATGCGTACAATATCAATATGTCGTCCCCGACTTCGTTCGGGGCGACATAATAACTCCTGAATTTTTCTCATCAATAACTCCTGAATTTTCCCCTTCAGTTCGAGCATTTCTGCATTGCAGAGAGCTGATGTGTGTTATGAGATGATAAATCATGTGTGAACTTTCTCAGTTTAGTGGAATCATGAACATTTTCGGCGAGATGAATGTTTTGTATACAGTGGTGATCAAGGCTTTGCGAACCATCAGGAGCGGATCAAAGAATTTATGAATGAATAAAAACTATGGAAATGACGTACCAATTTTTTAATTTATACTTGCACTATCTAATGAAATGAATAATATACAAGTGATAGATATACAAGAAAACGCCAAATGATAATAAATGCAGCTGACAATCGTTATTTTTTTTTATATAGATAAAATAAAATATTTATAAATTCAAGAGACAAAACAGAAGGAGAATGAATGATGGCAAAATATCACATGACGGGAACTGAATTTTATGAATGAAGATTTTAAAAAGTTACTTGTAAGTTGTATATGTTATATCTGTGTATTCTACTTGGCTGTGTGCTTCAAAAAAAGGGGGGGGGGGTCGTCTTGAACATAGTAAATAGCCATAACGTTTGAACGGTAAGTACTAGGGCTTTCGTATTTCAAATATGTAATCCTTGTGAAAAGAACTTTTATTGGATACGACGAACTTTGACCCTTTGACCTAGACCTTGGAGAACACATGTGTACATCTGAATCTTTTTTTCTGTTTCGTTTCTATGGCAACTGTGAGCGACTCATTACAATTATTTTGAAAGTAGAAATCACTTTGACACATTGCAAGGAATAAACATTGAAAGTTTCAAAACGATTGCCTGAGTAGTTATTGAGAAAATCGAAATTAAAGAATTTTTACTTTCACCTGGTTTCCATGGCAATAATCGATTATATGAAAATTTTAAATACGAGTTGCAGAACTACAGATACTAATCCTTAAAATAAGAAAAGTTTCATGACGAACGTTTAAGGGACCAGAGAGAACACTCTCGGACAAAATTTGTCGCTTTTTACAGGTTTCCATGGCAACGGTAGACATATTGGAACTGAACGACCTCACTGCACAACTACAACCAGTGATCGTCCTTTGAGGAAAGTTTCAGGAAGATTGTCCCAGCCATCTCCGAGAAACAGCCTGGATAAAAAAAACATGCGTACAATATCAATATGTCGTCCCCGACTTCGTTCGGGGCGACATAATAATAATAAGAAACAGAGTAAAAACAATATGTTCCCCAACTTCGTTTGGGGAACATAACTAAGTAGGCTAAATAAAATTTAAATTATGGTTCGCATGCATCCGTTTTGAGGTACAGAACATGTAGATGCATCAGAGTTCTTGAAATCTTTCAGTCCTGTCGGCAAAACCGATAAAAACAACCAAGGACCGATTACTTTCTATTCTGTGTCAGTTCAAATGACCGTACGGTGTTGACAGAGGAACTTGTGAAAAATCTAACTAAATTTCGTACAAATTCCCTATAACTGACCGATCATAATCTTTCAAACTCTTAAATTTCTGCATGTTGTAATGGCTTCTCAATTAATACAAGTGCAAATTTAGAGACAATTTGTTCCGTATATTCACTATGTAGCAAAATAAACACAGGCAATAACTCCAACTCAGTACATTTACTACGAAGATTCCAGAGAGTTCTGAATGCAAACATGGCGTGTAAATTAGAAGCGAGATATAATCAAAAAGAATATTAGTTGAATTATCATCTAAAGTTATTTGGATCATAATTTAGGTTTAAAGGCATATGCGACCTAAAAAAGGTTTGTTGTAATTAATTTTGAAGTTATTTCCAGTGCAAATCCTTTTGAATACTTCAAATTCATTTCGGAGCAATTCTGTAATTATTTGCCACATTGCGAGTATAACTGTTGTGAGGACTTGTTCCGATCAAGACAGATTTTTCTAACTTGTGCCAAACTATCACAGTAACTATGATTGTTAAACTGTTAAAACAATTTTGTTGACAGCGCTAGGGTAAGAAGTGTGCAGTGTTTATAGACGTCGTATTTATTGATAATAAAATTTAAATACAATTTTCATGTTTTTATTGAATTTATTTTGGACTGATAGAAATCTGTCTGGACTGACAAACTTCACATGGCAGTCGGTCCAAATGACTGGCAGCGAAAAAAAGATTTCAAGAACTGTGATGCATTCCAAATTTGTATCTCATCATCTTTTTATCTTATTTTTGACAAAATAAAACAAAGATAATGCAGAGACTAAGCTCGAAAAAAAGTTTGTGAATTTTGAGGTTCATGTAGACGCATTCCAAATTTTATTTACTTCATCGCAAATAAAATGGTAAGAAAAAATGGCCTCCCTCACCCAAATCTGTTTAGGAGAAAAACTGGCCAGCGAACAGGGAATCAAATTTATGTAGCCTTAATCATAGTCATGTCTTATGATGATCAAAGAAGCACAAATTTTGTGTTCCTATAATTCATCCCCATTACTAATATTTTTACCAACTCCATATATATATCAAGATATTTTCAAAGACTGTTCTGTAGATTGCTATATTTCATAATCATGATTACATGATGATCCTACAAATGTAGAGAACTTAATTGTTTAAACAACTCCCTAAAGAAATATATAAATACTCATGCATGCATGACATGTACTTGTAATTTGAAGCACTTTTTAAATTTTTTTTTATACTGTCAATAAAAGCTCAAACATTACAATTAAATAAAAAAAACTTTGGGTTGGAGTTGATACAGTGGCATGCTAAAAGTGAAAATAATTTTATTTTTTCTCTATATATTTCATTGAAAACAACATTTTGTAAAATCATAGGTAAATGGTCAATTTTTGTCCAATTTAATTATTTATTTCAGTACTTAGACCAGGAAATGTGTAGTTATCTTTCTTTAAAATATCATTACACGTTTAATATGCAGTAAAATATAGTTCATCACTGAACATCAGTTCTAAAATTCAAGATCAATGTTGACTATATAATTCATTGTGAATATATGACTTAAAAATTCACGTCACACTTAAATTACAATATTTTTAAATTATCAATGCTTATCAGATAAAAACTATTGTTGTTTTTAACTACAATAATTTCTTGGATTATCAAAATTTTTTTGATAAAATCTGTCAAGAAATGTTGTCATACCAGCAATTTTACAAAATATTGTTTTCAATGAAATATATAAAGAAACAAGAGGCCCATGGGCCACATCGCTCACCTGAGAAGCTTTGGCCATTCTGTTCTTTACCAGATTTCCCCCTTGTAAAACATATTGTGACCCCACCCTACCCCACTGATCATAATTTAAACAATTTGAAATATACACTACCCCAGTATGCTTCCATATGAGTTTCAGCTTTGATTTTCAGATTTTTTCTATATATTTCTATGTAAAACATTGATTCCACATTGTGGCCCAGCCCAACCCCCGGGGGTCATGATTTGAACAATTTAAAATCTACACTACCCCAGGATGCTTCCAAATAAGTTTCAGCTTCTCTGGCTCAGTGGTTCTTGAGAAGAAGATTTTCAAAGATATTTCCTATGTATTTCTATGTAAAACATTGAATCCCCATTGTGGCCCCGTCCTACCCCTGGGGGTCATGATTTGAACAATTTAGAATCTACACTACCCAAGGATGCTTCCACATAAGTTTCAGCTTTTCTGGCCCAGTGGTTCTTGAGAAGAAGATTTTAAAAGCTTTTTCCTTTATATTTCTATGCAAACTTTGATTCCCCATTGTGGCCCCGCCCTATCCCCGGGGGTCATGATTTGAACAATTTAGAATGTACACTACCCCAGGATGCTTCCAAATAAGTTTCAGCTTCTCTGGCTTAGTGGTTCTTGAGAAGAAGATTTTCAAAGATTTTTCCTATATATTTCTATGTAAAACATTGATTCCCCATTGTGGCCCCGCCCTACCCCTGGGGGTCATGATTTGAACAATTTAGAATCTACACTACCCCAGGATGCTTCCACATAAGTTTCAGCTTTACTGGCCCAGTAGTTCTTAAGAAGAAGATTTTCAAAGATTTTTACCATATATTTCTATGTAAAACATTGAATCCCCATTGTGGCCCCGCCCTACCCCTGGGGTTCATGATTTGAACAATTTAGAATTTTCACTACTCCAGGATGCTTCAACATAAGTTTCAGCTTTTCTGGCCCAGTGGTTCTTGAGAAGAAGATTTTTTAATGACCCAACCCTATTTTTGTCTTTTCTTGATTATCTCCCCTTGCGAGGGGATATGTCCCTTCATTTTAACAATTTAAATTCCCCTTCACCCAAGGATGCTTTGTACCAAGTTTGGTCGAAATTGACCCAGTGGTTCTTGAGAAGAAGTTGAAAATGTGAAAAGTTTACAGACGGACGGACAGACGGACGACGGACAAAATGTGATCAGAAAAGCTCACTTGAGCCTTCGGCTCAGGTGAGCTAAAAATAAAATTATCTTCACTTTTGGCACACAACTGTACCTACCTAGTAAGTACTGTGTTTGTTTTTTGTACAGTTGTACACATCCAAACATCAGTGTTGGTACTTACCTAGTAAATTTATTTTATTTATACTGTCAATAAGAGCTCAAACAAAATAAAAGAAAGTTTGAATTGGTGTTTACCTACCTAGCAAGAATTGTGTTTGTTTTTTGTACAGTCATACACATCCAAACATCAGTGTTGGTACCTACCTAGCAAGTACTGTGTTTGTTTTTGTACAGTCATACAAACTTCAGTGTTGGTACCTACCTAGTAAGTACTGTGTTTGTTTTTTGTAGAGTCGGACACATCCAAACATCAGTTTGGCTGAGAGGTAGAGTGAGAATCGGGGCCGGCTCCTACCAGGTACTGAGGGCTGCTTCCTCACCATGATGTAATCCACGATGTCTTCACTGAAAACATGGATTTATAGATAATCAGTGGGGCCATTT